TGAAAGTAACACATAGACAAATGACCCTCCTACATTAGGTTTTCCCATCACCCAATACTGTAGGTTTGGAAAACCTCATGAAGGGCTGTGGTACTTTGCCACCTGTATTTTTGAGTGTGGGTGTCTGTTATGAAAATAGGGAGCTTGGTGTCCTCAGGGAACCCATTGTTTTCAGAAGGAACACTGGAAGTGTAGGGAGTCAGCAGTCTTCACTTACCCTAAGGTCACCAGTTAGGAGTCAGTGTTACTTGCATCTCGGCTACTTTGCAGTGCTGTGAGTCACTTGCAAAAGAAAAGTTTCTTCTCCTGTGTGGAGTTGTTTGTGTATATGTGCGCACATGTGTAGCTTCAATGAAGTTATGCCACTTAGGTAGATAATGCTTCCCCTAACAAGCAATGGACCATCTAAGGAGAACATGTTAGCACCAGAGAATGCTTCAATTAACTCTTACTTATTAAGAGGAAATAGCTACATGGCAGATCTTTTGAATTCAAGAAAAATTAAAAGCTGGGAGAAAGATGATAGGAAGGAGAGAGAAGAGAGGGAAAGGGAAGGAGAGGTTCTGCAGGAAAAAAAATAATTCTGTCCAGGGGCTATCTTTGGTGGGGGGCACATTAGTATTTTCTGTATTTTGTCTTTATTGAGAAAGGGACTTGTCCTGTAAGTTAACCTGAAACTCACAATCCTCTGCCTCACTTTCCCAAGTGCTGGGATCAGGGTGATGATAAAAGTACACATTTGTACTTTAGTGTCTGTTTTTCTGATGTGGCAGAAATGGAAGCTTCTACCGTTTGGTGGGGAAAGGAGGAGAAAGTGGGCAGTATGTCGGTGCTTGGATGCTGTGATGGCCCCATTACCTTGATGTTGTGATGTCTATTATTATTATTATTATTATTATTATTATTATTATTATTGTTATTATCTGAGACAAGTATTGATTGCTTGTCTACTAATAAGAAATAGGGGTTAGCATGTGTTAGAGGATAGTCTTTTCCTCTTTCGTCTTAGATTGATGGATAATTTGACCTCTATTAACAAAACAGATTATAGGAATCACATTTCAACACTAAAATAACACTGCAAGTATAAAATGGAAATAACACAACTTATGGAAATGCCGTGAAGTCATTTCTGTTGAAGTCTTTTGAGTCTCAGATGCTAAACTTCAAGGCATTTCTGTTTTACAATTCTACTTGGCACACTCATTTCTTTTTTTTTTTTTTGACATTTGTGAATATGAAATGCTTTATTTAAAAAAGGTGGAAAATAAACTTTTAGGTGCCCAAAGACTTATGTATATAATATTGATATAGTTTTCTTTATATAAATGCAATCATAAAATACAGTTTGAGATCCACACTCATTTCTTGAATCCATCCACATAACACAGGAGACAGACTGTTCTAACTTTATGAGATCTACCAGCTTTTCATAGCAGGTATCCAAGCCTTAATAGTCTAAATGTGGATTATAGACACACACAGTTTAATAACCAAGACACTCTCGTTTTCTTACTTCCCCCTAACAACACTCTTTTTATGTTTTCATTAATATTTTGATCTGCAAATTAAAATATCCCATTACTTTGGATTTTGGCAGGCCTTTAATAGTATCTACTTTAGAGGGAAACAGCATCATCTGACCTTTCTTTATGTATAAGACCCTGCCCTGTATCCTGTGGAGGGAATAGGACCCATCCTCTCCCTCCTGTCTTCCCAAATGGTATGTAAAATTTTCAATTCAAAGAACAAAGATAACTAGTCTCTAAAACGATTTTATAGGATAAAGACCATGGCTCAAAGACTTTAGAGGCCTTGGGAAAAGAAAAGAGATTCAAGTGGGGGCTTGCAGAACAGTGGGCATTTTCTAAGGATGAGGAAGACAGAGAATTAAAGAAAAGGCGCAAAGACCCAAATCCAGGAAAGTGAGAGAATGAAACAGCTTGTTATGGCATGTGGTAGCTCTCCAGTGAGAACCAAGAGAATGGGAACTCCTAGAAATGATATCAATGTAGAGAGAGCGAAGGCTGACGATGGATTCAACACAGTAATATCAACAGTAAGCTAGAAAAATAACCTTGGTTTATCCTTAGATTTCACATGATAGTGGCCCTAGGTAAATACTACTAGAGATAAAATTCTCTATAGAGAGTTTCGACTGAGGATTTGATAGTGAATCTGCCAGTGTGAGCTTGCCTATGTTTATATAATCATCCACGAAAACTTAGGGGAGAAATATAATCAACAATAAAACAACAACTAAAAATCTCCTTTTATTATTTAAAATATGGTAAAATTCTTTATTTAAAACAATCTAGACCTAATCCGATTTAATTTTTTTTCTTGAGACCTTGCATCCTCATTTAAGAGTATCTGTTGATGATGTACTGTCCACCCTATGCAAAGAAGCAGGGCCCTTAATTGGTACAGTTTGAGAGACCTATAGAAATCATATGGTCAGCTGTGCCAATGAATTAATTCGGAGCCCCAAAAATTAAGAGTTTAGCTTAAAATAACTGCCTGCTTGTAAGAGAAATAAATTTTAATACAGTCACCACTAATTTAGGAGCTATTACTTTATCCACATGCCTTGATATCTAGTTATTTTTCCTAAAATACCAATACAGAAGTATGTATATAATTTTGCATAGGTACATATCCTAGGTCATATCAGATACATTTTGTTTTGAATCAGCATTTTCCCAACTAGCTCATCTATCTCCCCTTTCTGTCTCCAACCAGGAAATCTCTTTTGATTTAATACTTAGTAGGTCTCATCCTAAATGTTTTTAAAATCTGTATACTCATACGTGAACCTGTGTATACATACATATGAAGTACTTGGTTATCTTTTGCACAAGGATACACGTAAACACACACACACTTTTCTGTGCCTTGATTTGCTCATACAACAATACTTGAGGAAATCCTTGCCAAGGGAAAAGCTGAAGCCTCATTATGCCTTTATTTTACAGTTATATTGCATATGCCTTACAGTAGAATATGTCTTGATATTGCCTACTGTTTCTCTTAGTCTTTGTTTCCAGGTTTTGCTCTACCAATAACACCTGAATGAACATGCCATTTCTCTTTCTTATTGATAAGTCTGCTTCTTGGGGTCAGGAATGTGCTTTAGAAACTAACCCACTTCCCTGGAACAGCTAGAGTCAGAGGCAACCACTAAGATCCTTTCCTTTCCTCCACTCAGCCTCCCCAGGCCACACTGCTGCACATTTGCCTTTGCAAGAGCAGTTGCTGTAAAGTCAAGTCTCACTGTGTATTTTTATCTGGTGGCAAATGATCTTGCCCTTCATGTCTGAAGCTCACTGGTTATTGGCTTCTTGTTAACTGTGCTTTCCTGTTATTTTACCCACTTTTCCAACAGATTATTTGATCTCCTTTAAATTTTTTTTTTTTGCCAATGAGTCAAAAAACCTTTATTTAAATTTAAAGAGCATTAGGTATAATATAGATATGTTCAAATATCTTCCAATTTTCACAAACCATTTTTCCTCAAGTATGTAATCTAAAACATATTTTATGGAACTTTTTGTTATATGGAAGTTTTGAGCTTCAGGTTCCTACCCATCTGTTTTCTTTTTTTTTTTCTTTTTTACAAATGACCACAATCTGGTGATTTTCTTTTCTTTTTAGTTTATTTATTTTTATTTTATTCACATTGGTGTTTTTCCACGTGTGTTGGGTCCCCTGGAACTAGAATTAAAGACACTTTTGAGCTGCCATGTGGGCGCTGGGAATTGAACCCAGGTCATCTGGATGAACAACCAGTGCTCTTAACCACTGAGCCATCACTCCAGTGCCCTGTTTGTTTTCCTTAATTTGTGCCTTATCACAAAGCATACTATTGCTGCCCTATAACGCTGATGGCTCCTAGATTTTACTTCTTACATGGTCTTTATTTGTGTCTTACATTTTAATGCTTAATCCATGTAAATATATCTAGGATTTTTTCAACTGGAATATGATTAATAAAACAAACCTTCCCTTTCTTTCCTTTTAGAGCAATTGTTCCCAACCTTCCTAATGCTGTGACCCTTTAATGTAATTACTCAGGTTGTGGTGTCCACCAACAATAAAATTATTTTTATTTTTACTTCATAACTGTAATTATATTCGTATTATGAATCATAATGTAAATGTCTGTGTTTTTTGACGGTCTTCAGTAATTCCTGTGAAAGGGTCATTTGACGCCCACCACCAAAGGGGTCATGACCCACAGGTTGAGAACAACTGTTCTAGCTCTTTTACTAGTCTTTTCGATTCGGTCCTTTAACAGACTTGAGATGCCCCTTTTTTCAAAGACTAAAATCCCCCCTAACATTCAGACCCATTTCTGGGTACTCTGTTGCAAAGATTCTTAATCTCCTTAGGTCTGCTTAGTGCTTTTCAAAGTTACTACCAATAGCAATGTGGGATTTTATTTTTCTGACAAATCAGATTACAATGACGACTTCTGAGTTATGGAAGGTAGTTATATTAAAAACTCACTCAATGCACAGCACTGGAATGTGAGCAGATACTCTCCAGGCAAAATAATATTAGTGCAGCTAGAATATTTTTTCAGTCTTTCTACTTCAGGTAGATTTTTATATCAACAGATATAAGAAGTTTCTGTTGTGGTTGTGTGTGTGTGTGTGTCATTTTGTTGTCCTTTGCTTGTCGGTCGTAGAGAAGGAACCTGTGTCAAGGGCACCCCTCCTAGGAACTGCTCTGCTCTTGAGCTTTTCACACCTTTTAAGAGAAGGTCTCCCTCCCTTGCCCAGGCTTACTTTCCACTGTCCTCTAGCCCTAACAGGCCTTGAACTTGTGACCCTCCTGCCTTTGTCCTCTGAGATCTGGAAAGACAGGTCTGTACCACCAATCTAGTTTCAAGCAGAAAGGTTTTAATGAACTTATGTAATCCTGAGTGGTAGCTCACTATTCTCTTTTCTCCTGCAAAGGTATGGTATATTAACAACACTGTTTGCTTGGTTCCCCAGGCCAGCTCTTCAGAGGACTCATCCCTATATCTTCTCACTGAGCTCTGACTACTTCCTGGAGAAAACATACATGGAACAGACACTGGAGTGCTCTTGGAAAGAAGTCCCATGGGGACTGTACCTGAGTCTCTGAGAGTGACGAAAGCCTCCATAGTGACAACGTCTGGAAAGGAAGAGGGTCGAGGAGAGCTGCAGAGTATCTCCCCACAACAAGTTGAGGCAGAGAAGAATGCTAGTGGCGCTGGCAATGCCCCTGCTGAACTTAGCATTGGGCTCAGCACAGCTGCTGAGGCCCTGATGCAAGCCTGTGTGCATGAGACCAGACAGTCAGACATGGCATCTCCGGGTGTCCTCCATGACGTGGAGCAAGTGTCACCCACACACAACACTCCTGCTGACTCCCAGCTGCAAGGAAGCAAGGAGCTGGCAGCATCAGGCCCAAATCCTTCAGCAGAAAAGGAACTTATATCTGTACACCATGCCATCCAAGGTGACCTGCCAAATACCAGCAGCACCTGTGTGGTACCTGAAAACTCCTTGGGCAAATCAAAGGCAAACTCAAACAGTGAGAAACCTGAGAAGTCAAGTTGTCCTACCAGGGTCACCTGTTGCAGCAGCAAAAATCAAATGCTCTGTGATTTTCCATCTCCAGAAAATAGCCAGGGAATTGTACAGGCTTCAGATCCAGCAACGGCGGGTCACTCGTCCCCTTCTACAGACAGATCTGGTGGGGAAGGGCAGAAAGTCAACAGCGACACCACAATGGGGTCCAGTGAACCTCTACCAAGAAGAGGATGCTCAGAGAACAAACAACCCTCTGCCACTGCCTTGGACAACACGGATGAAGGATCTGAAAATCTTCCACCATCCTCCCTCACCAGCAGAGATTCCACCTGTTGTCCGGACAAAAAGAAAGTGGCGCCACTAGCGCAGCTTCCGGCAGCGTCAAGGTTCAAAGAAGCCAGTACAATGACCTGCCATGCTGAAAGGGAGGTTAAGGAGATCCCAGGCAGGGCTTGGCAAGACGCCGAGGTGCAAGCAGTGGCAAGTGTGGAGAGCAGGTCTGTCTCTACTAGCCCCAGCATCCTTCCGGCATTCCTAAAGGAAATCCCTGCTCCTGAGCATGAGAATGGGCAAGAGCAGCTACGTGTAGTTTGCCATGGCAAAGGCAGTGGGGGCCACTTACTGGAACTCTCTAACAGCATGGTAGACCCCCAAGAGCCAAGGCAGTGTCCCGGCATTGTACCGCAGGTACACATCCAGCCAGCTGCTGCCACTCCTGCAGCTTTCAAGGCAGAATGCAAACCAGAGAATCAACCAGGAGAAGCCTTTAAATCCTCCCTGATGGCCTCCAGTCAAAACCAGGATGCAGAAGAAGATGGGCGGTCTTCAGCAAGCAAAGAGGCAACTTCCGGGCAGCCTGCAGGAACTAATCCTGGCTCCCAGAAAGATAGCCCCACTGACCAAATTTCCCTCCTGACTGGGAGTCAAGCTGGGATAAATCATGGCTTGGGGAACTCTGAAGCCAGGTCATCTGAATTTGTAGTGAAAACTACAAATGACCACAAAACACAGCCAGACCGCAAACCACCTGACTCCCGTGGAGGTGCCGGTAAAGATGACCAGCTGGAGAGCTCGAACCCCACTGATAAAAGAGGTGCAAAGGATGGGAAGCCTGCTTCTCCTCTTATTGTAGAAGAGCCCACACCTGGGACCATCTGCTCCGTAGATGCCAAAATCCTACTGCTGAATCCTAAATCTCAAGAAAATGAAGGTACAGGACCAGAGGCCAATCTTGCACCCTCCCCAGGGAGGAAGAGCCAGCAGAACACCTTGGAAGAACACAGACAGACCAAGACCTCCACAAGCCTGAGCCTGCCATCCGATGGCACCGGTGACTCAAGCCCAGGCTCCGGCAAGAGGACCCCTTCTCGCTCAGTCAAGGCCAGCCCACGCAGGGCCAGCCGGGTCAGCGAGTTCCTGAAGGAGCTCAACGTGACCGCGGCTGCTGCCCAGGTGGGGCTCACACCAGGAGAAAAGAAGAAACAGATGGGCTCAGACTCCAAGCTGCATCTGAAACAGTCCAAGCGAGTCAGGGACGTCGTGTGGGACGACCAGGGCATGACCTGGGAAGTGTATGGTGCTTCCTTGGACCCAGAGTCCCTGGGAATTGCCATTCAGAACCATTTACAAAGACAAATTAGGGAAAATGAGAAGCTAGTTAAAACACAAAGTGACCAGACTCGAAGATCTATCTCCTCAGATTCTTCTTCAAATAAGAAGCTCAAAGGGAGACAGCAGGGCGTTCTGCAGTCCATGCTGCAAAACTTCCGGCGCCCCAACTGCTGTGTCCGCCCAGCGCCATCTTCTGTGTTGGACTGAAAGGAAACAGCACCGCTGTATGAGCTGTGGTATTTCTTATGTCTATCCTTATCAATGCTTAAGAGTTTGGATTTCTCTTTTGTTTGGGGTTTGTTGTCCTTGTTTTCGTTTCAGACTTAGCTATTCCAAACTGTCTGGTCCTCCATAAATAAAATGCCATTTCGCATGGAAAGAACACAAGCAGTGAAGCAAAGCTTGGAGGTGAAGAAAGAAGAAATAATCTGCACTGAGGTTTTCCTAATACATAATTGTTTATAAAAACACATTTTCACTACATGTGAGTCGTGTGGTACATCCCCTCAGTCTATCACAGGGTAGTACTTCCACTAAAATACCCACTTTACATTAAAACTAGCAAAAACCACTCTTAGCAACACTGTGATGAGTTCTAGTCTTACTGAAGTAAGGATGCTAGTACCACAAAAGTTAAGTAGTTCATAAGAACCTTAATATGAAACACTGAAACAAATTCAACTAATCCCTGGGACAAATAAGATAAAATGAAAGTAGTCAAAAGTATATAATAATGAATATGAATTGTCTATAAGCATCTGAAGCTTTTTATGTGAGCAAGTTCTAGTTAGAAAGGTTAGCTATGCCTCCAAACATGAGTACTGCCTGGACCAAACATGAATTTAAATCTGTACATTTTTCTACACTGAAAGCAAAATGCATCTCTCTGTCCTTCTGAGCAAATTAAAATGGTATTTTCTTACTCTAGGGGAAGTATCTGTGATTGGAGCCATGAAATTAAGGATAACAGTAAATTCTGAATTGTGAATTTGTCCTCTGGTAACAGTTTCCGATTCCTTAAATGCACAACCTAGATTCTTCCATATTTATCACTTTTCAGAGACATCCTTCAGAGATCTTTGTGAAATCGTAGCTTTGGGTGGCCATGTTGTCTCACTGGTTTCTACAGCAGGATAAACATGGACCATGGGATCATTGTTGGGGCCCTGAGCTGGGGTGAAACAGTAACTTGCACATTGGGGTAGTATGGAGAAGGAGCACATTCATTTTCTCTAGGCAGTGCTGATCTGAAGGTTGCTGTTAACACATGTGAAAGACAGAGCGGCAGTTAACTGCCTTTGCTGAAATCACTCACCAGCAAGGAGGACCTGCCATGTGGTTTCTGTTTCTTTTTTCTTCAGAGACTCAAATAGCAAGGGTATGGCCAAATATCTGCTTTGGCTTTTTTTTCAATTTATTTCTGTTTTGTAGATCATAAATATAAAAATTATACCTGAGCTCTAAAAACCAAAGCTGCATTGCCTTTGATGTCTAGGAGAGAACTTGACTGTGTATAAGTAGGCCACGGTGACAGCACTCTCTGAGTCGGAGAATGATAATTACGGTGTTATACTTGGAGGCTTATAATGAATTTTTAATAAGGCACATTTTCAGTTTCCTACTAATTGGTCTCTGTTAAGAATGCTTTATAAAGTAGAAATTACTGTCAAATTGCTGATCAAATTGCTGTATTAATGATTAGAGATTTAGCATAAAACTCTCCTTTAGTATAAGTACCTTTGCTGGGACTTAATCTATCTCCCATCTTCCACACACTGGGGCCTTCTGTCACATGTCAGCACCCATGCTGTGTATACACAGAGTACCCCCGTGCATAGCCAGGAGCAGCGCCCACAGAGCCCACTCCAGATGGTGGGCCCTAGCAAGCCTTTACACTAAAGTGCTGCAGCAGGCTGCTCGTACAGAGAAGAAAGAATTCTGATCAGTAATAATGTTTGTGGGTTTAGAGTAAGCATAAAATGCCTAGATAGTTAATGAAGCAGAGGCCTGAGAGAGCTGTAGGTATCTGTCCCAGATTCAGTGAATCAAAAGTCTTCAGTTGGGTGTTATAGTTGTACCTCTCAAATCGAAAACTAAAGAAATGTTTGATTACTAAGTTTGGTTTTCTTTGGTACTAGAACGAAATTCTTCATTTCTACAAGACTCTAGAAAGCATCACAAAGTAGTACAAAGAGGTTTTGTCTTCGCTCCTTCTAGAAACAGCAGTGGGAATGACTTACCAAATGGATACATTAAGCTGGGAAGCTGCTCAGGTGTTTATGTCACAGAACCTACCCGTAGACACACTCGTAGTAAAATTGCATTTGAAGTTTTTCTTTTCCATTAGCCTACGACACAGCCCAGCATTTGACCTTCAAGACAGCACTGGAACCCCTCACCTTCTTTAACCAGGGAGACACATGGTGTCTTTCGTGGTACACTCACTCTCCATCACTTGTTCTTCTTGCTTTATCTGTGTGACACACACTGGCTTGAAAGTTATTTGCGTCTCTCATTATTTTGTAGCATGCCATTTAGACCTTCCCAACACATATTAGATTTTAAATATATAATGTAAATGCTTTATTAAAGAAATAGAAAAGATTTCTTGTTATCAGTCGCAAAGGAAGTGAGAACTCAGGATCTAGAAGTTCCTTCAGCATTTACAATGTAAAGATGCTATACCACTTACGAAGAAAATACTAGAATTCTTAAACTGTAATTATTCTGTTTCTGTGACCATGAGACAAACACCCCAGCTTCCACTATTTGTTTATCGTGAATGATTTTATAACAATATCTTTTTGGATTCATGGTTTTTGATGCCAGGGCCACCTATGTAAAATACAGTAAAACCCTGATCAACCCATCATTTTGAATCAATGACATAAGATAAATATTTTTTTATATCAAAGTTAACACAAAACCTGTGTGTATGTATGTATGTTCAAAATGAAATAGTTGTAAAACGGATTCCTATGTTTTCCTACTTTGATCAGTTCAGCTATCCAGACTGTAATTTGATTTTTGATAATTTTTTTATTCTTAGAAATCGTCCAACACATTATTTTGGATATCTCTATTCCTGGTGTTATAGATTAAATATAAAGCTGAAGTAAGTTGGACTGAATGTGTATGTAAAGCCTCTACTCAGAGGCTGGACTTTGTAACCAAATCCTTAGCAGAAGCTTGCTATCTTTTTTTTTTTTTTTTTTTTTTTTTTTTGAGACACGGTTTCTCTGTGGTTTTGGAGCCTGTCCTGGAACTAGCTCTTGTAGACCAGGCTGGTCTCAAACTCACAGAGATCCGCCTGCCTCTGCCTCCCGAGTGCTGGGATTAAAGGCATGCGCCACCACTGCCCGGCCAGAAGCTTGAAGAGAAAGATGAAGATAAGCAAATTGTCATTTGGTTGGCTCTGAGAATCTTGGAGTTTGGCTGCCCTCAGTTTGTGCTCTTTTGCTTCATTTGGGAATCCTCCATCATTCTGAGTATGGTGTATATACCACACCAAAAACAGAACACAATGAGGCTTCAACTTTTATTTGTAGGGGGTGTATGAGAGTGTGCTTTTAATGTCACCTGTCCAGTCATTTTTGTATTCACTTTTACATTTACTGAAAATACGTGAGGAATCACTGTCTTCTTTTACTTCTACAGTGGAAGTATTTTTAAAAGACCCCCTTCTAGTGCCACATAATCCTCCATATTTCTTGTCTCCTTTTCCAGATCAGTATAAAGAAAACAATATATTAGGATAACATCTGCATATAGGTATATATGCGTTTATTAGACCCTGGCCAGTCATGGCCTTTTGTAGACTCAGATTCACTAACTAGCTACAGTGCAGCCATGGAGCCGAGGCTGTCTACTCTCTCCGGCTTTGTTCTAAGTGGTGTGTGAGAAATGAACTTGTGAACTCCCCAGTGCAGTGACAGAGTGAACTCCAAAGTATCTTAACTGAGCTGACAACATTGTCACTACCACTGCGTTGTCTACATGATGAGTCAGAAGCCTTCTTTCTGACCATGTCAGTACCCACTGTACCACATTCATACCCGAGCATTTTGATTTGTTAGCAGTGTCTCTTGATGTGTGCGCAGCCTCTTTGGTTCTTTCCAAATGCAGCTCAGCTGCTGCTGCCCCCTGGCAAATGAATCTCCTTGGGACTTTACCCTCCCCTAATGAAATTCTGTAACTGATAAGTGACTATAAAAGTCATCTGTGTAGACACATAGGCTTATTAATAACTATATAATTTTGAACAATTTTCCAAAAATAGCTTTGTAAATACTTAAGCAGTTTTTCCATGAACTTTGTCTTACTTTTGGAACAGAGACTATTCTCTTTGACTAAAAAATTCAAGTAAGTTTGATTTCAATAACCAAGAAACTAAATGAAGAAGTGATGTGGGACATTTCTGCCTGATGGTGATAAATGCCAGAGGTCTTTACTGCTACGTTAACGCTGAATACTCACCAGCTCAGCTACGCACTTGCCACAACCGAATAACCTCTCTCAAAGTAAATCCAATACATCTGTAAATGTGTATATCAACAAACAACGGATGAGCCTGAAAACACTTTGGCTGTTAGGAAAACCAAGGTGACAATAATTATAAAGGACATCCAAATAACTGCAGTCTCAATAACATGGTGGTGGGGGCCAGAATGGTGCAACAAGATGTTATTTCCACATTTTTTCTAAAAACCAGATATCTCAGAAACCAATTTGAGGATAAAGACTGTTGACTGTGAAACCAAAGCCAAGCAATACCATGCCAAAATGAGGCAGTTGTACCAGCAAGCGCATCAGCTGTGGGCACACATTCTGTAAGTATAGTTTCCTCTGTGAAGGTTGACGATCTCAGAGGATATGTGGAGGGACAATTTCTGCTTTCTGTTGGAAAGCCTGGTGAGATGCATCACAGATGGAAACCACAGCCATGACCAGGAGCAAAGGTTAGCTTGCATCTCTGCCTCATTCCAGCCACGCCTGAAGAGGAGTCACTAAAAGTCTTGCTGGCTTCCAATTCAAACCAGAACCTTTGTCAAATAAAAGGATTGAATTTACAGGAATTTCTCTTCCAGGACACTAGCATGACATATGCAACTCTCTTAACTTGACATAGTGAATTGCCAGATGTGGCAATGAAAAGCAGGCTCCCAAAAGTACTGAAACACAAGCCCTTCTAGCAAAAGGAGCCTCAAATAATGCCTTACAGAGAATGTTCTAGACACTTTCTGAATACTAATGACTCGTCAAGTGTCTTTCTGGGTTCAAGTTCAAAATTAATTGGCTGCAAAGTATTAGGAATTAAGTCACATATTTTGCACTTCAGGAAAAGACACTGATGATCAGCCAACAAATGATAATTATGATGAGATGTTCTCATGATTTGCGAGTGCTATGGAGAATTAAATGGGAGAGAACATTGAGCCCCTAGATCTCTTCAATGTGAAAATGTCATCGGTTTTTTTTCCCCTAGGTATAAAAATTATAATCTGGGTTTGTTTTATTTTAACATTGCTGCTAGTATTAACTTTTCTTATTTTAAAAATTAACCTGTCTCTTTTGGGAAAACTTCTAAGTATTAAACAGTTTCTTTCTGATTCATGTGACTTATTAACTCTCTGTGAAGGTGGTGTGTGGAGCAAACCACCCCCGATGAGCAAAAGGAGCTTGTCTTTGTCTGGAGGCATTCTTTCTAATTTCAGTGTGGATTCATGGGCATTCATTTTAGGCCATGTCTTGGAGTAAGTCACGTTTTACCATGTCTTGAAATGACACATTGTGAAATGACAGTGTCTTGTCCTGCATTAGAAGGAAGGAACGACTACTAACGCTTGCTATCAGGGGAGCTACAGGTACCTTGTATTAAAGACGACAGACGTCAACATGGCCTGAAAAATCAAGAAAAACTTTCAAGTAGCAATTCCTAAATCTCTATATTTATTTACCTCTGCTGTACTAATGTGTGAAAAATATGTTGTGCATAATACTGTAGCTGGTTGTGGTATGTCTGTACATTCTATAAGTGTGTGTAGTCTGTGAGTAACTGCCACTTTCATGTGTAGGAAAAAAAATTGCATGCTATAGCCCATTTCAAGGCTATTTCCTATTGCCAGGTAGGCACATACAGGAGAGTGAATAAAATCAACAAAAATGTGCATGTATGTTCAGTAACAGAGTAGATACTTTCAGTTGATGATGGTCAAGAGGGACCAGGCTTGGTTTGGATTTTTTGTTTTGTTTGGTTTGGTTTTTATCATCTACAAGAGAAGCCAGCATAGTTACCGCAAAGGCTGAATGGAGTGGTCTGTACATTTACATGTTACTAAATATGCCAGAGCTAATTTCACATGTCATTAGTCACAAGTAAGGTCAGTTCTTTGACCACTGGGTTGATTGCCATTCTTCACACATCCTCTGTGTTAAGTGTGTGACAGTATGTACATACCATGGGTGTGATTGTGTACATACCTTGTATGAATTATCTAAATTCTCTAAGCAGTTGCAAGAAAGCAGAATGAAGAGATAATTATTCAAAAGCCTCAAATGGGCTAGTCAATATGGATTTCCATTTTCTACACATAAAATGTGTATATAGCCAAGTGTAAATATCATATCCAAATTGATGTGCACACAAAATGCATTTTATTCATACTACTACATTTGAATAAATCGTTAGCATATTACAACAACTAATTAACAGCTACATCTTTCCATGACTTTCCTATTTGACATCTATTAGTATTGAACTCAATGATCCCCCTTGAGTGATATTACACCCAAATGAGTTAATGTGTGTGAAAGTCCCACCTATTTAATGTCTCACTGAGTCTGGTATTTGAACAGCTTCAGGGTATTAATACTGTTTTTTAAATACAGAACTATATCTGGAAGTGACACACACTGAGGGAAACTACTTATATTTTGGAAGCTGAATTTGGACCTTTACCAGTATTTATACTCACAACCTGACAGAAAGCTTACATTTTTGCTGAAGTCTCCCCAGCTTTCTCCAGTGTACATAATCATTCAAAGTAGAGATAATCATAGGCCTTCTCTTGATAGTAATCAAACCATGTGTACCCACACTGAAGAGAAATAAAAGTTCAAAGTGAAAATAAATTATATGTGCTGTTGGTAAGAAAGGATAGAATGAACAACTGGAAGTTCCTTAAGAAAGACTCAGGTACTCTACAGACTAATCCAAAGGCCAGAGCCGTTAACCAGTTATTGGTAATACTAAACAAAATTATACAATCTATCAGTTTTCAGAAAGGAATTGACCAAAGTTTTCTCATTTCTTCTTAAAGAATATCCTCTACTAAATAAAAATTAGAGACCGACATTCTTAAAAGTATAATTTGACCCCAACTCTATGGCACTAAAATCTGTTAGCTAATTGCTGGGCTGACAATATGAACAGAAATATCAGCATTATTCCTCGAGAGAGAATTCTATTCATACAAATACAACCACTTTCACTAAAGGTTATGAATAGTATTTGAACACACATTCATGGGTTACGAAGTGGATGTATAGTCTTCACACCTTAAAGATGGGTAAGGTTAATCATTGTACAAACACTACATGACAGCAGACAACTTGGTTCACCTGTGATAGAAATACAATTCCTGAAATCTTGATGTTCACCAATTTTGCTCTTGCATAAAAGAAATGTATGTTCTCTTGAAAAATGTATACAATTTAACTATCACCAAAATATTCCATCAATGTGACAATCATTTACGGACACTGACCAAAATGAACTACCATATTTAATCACTGAACAAATGGTAATATTCAAAATTGAAAGTATGAAACTAGTTATGGCATAATGTCTTCTATAAAGGTCATAAAATAGTTTGTTTAAAATATTCTCTTTTCTTGGACGTTGTTCAGTAAATTCATTTTTGTTCATGGAAGATCATGTTTATACAAAGATAATGATTTCTTAGACTGCAACCTTAATTTTGGTTTTTTGCCTTTGGTTTTTTAATTGGTATTTAAAATACTGAGATTCAGCTGGCTAGCTACTTTTGTCTTTAAAAGTTTTGAAATATAATTTTTTTGCATCTCGCTTCCCATAATAAATATAATATGAAATAAAATTTCCTACACTTCTATTGCTGTTTCTATTGTCACCATTGCTGTGGAAATTGTTTCGGGATATACCAGTCACTTGATCTCCTGACTGACATTTTTCTACTAGG